AAAAAAAAAAAAAAAAAGGATAGTCACTTTACATAATAGTTTGGCAATTCCTCAAAATGATTAAATACGAAGTTACAATATGACCTAGCAAGGCTACTCATGGGTGAATACATAAGGTTAATGAAAACCTGTTCACACAAGAACTTGTACATGAATGTTCATAGCAGCATTATATGTAATGACCAAAAAGCATAAATAGTGTAGATGCCCATCAACCTATGAGTACATCATTAAAATTTGGTATATCCATATAATGGACTATTTTTCAGCCATAAAAGGAGTGAAGAACTGATAAATGCTACAACATGGATGAAGCCTGAAAACACTTTGCTAGGTGATAGAAGCCAGTCATACAAGGCCATTTCAGGGGTAAGAAAATGAAGTACTGCTTTGCCATAAAGAAGGATAAATTTGTTTGTTTTTCTTCTGGTACCAGGAATCGAACTCATGACCTTGCACTTGCCAGGCACTGTGCTGCTGAGCTAAATCCCCAACCCCAAGAAGGATAAATTTGAATCATTTGTAAGAAAATGAATGTACCTTCAGCCCATAATGTTAAGTGAAATAAATCAGACACACAAACTTAAATATCTCACGGTTTCTTTTTTTTTTCCGGGACCAGGAATCAAACTCACGACCTCGCGCTTGCCAGGCAGGCGCTGTGCCACTGAGCTAAATCCCCAGCTTCTCACAGTTTCTTTTATATGAGAAACCCAGAATATAAAGAGCAAAATGAAAGGAGGGAGATAGGTCTTTCTCAAATGGGAAGAGGATCAGGAGAGAGGGAGATGGAAGGGAAGAGAAGGAAATGGGATGAAAAAAAGTAATTAAAACATGTTATGGACATGTGCCAACTCTCTACAAGGAATGTAAACATTACAAACTGCAAACATGTACTGATAAAAAAAAAAGATAAAAAGGTATATGTACTTTCTTCAAATATTTTATACAGGAAGCTTAGAAATACATTCCTTTATATAGTACTTTATCAATTCATCAGGTAACCCCAGTTCACACTTACATTATCAAAATAGCAATCATAACCATCAGGGGAGGCTTTCTGCAATGCTTCTTCCAGAGAATCTACTGTCTTGTAGTTAAAGGCAACATCAAATCCAACTTGTTTAAGATAGGCAATCTTTTCATCCGACCCTGCTGTTCCAACAACTTTGCAGCCCTAAATAGGGAGAAAAATACTAACTATAAATGAGGCAGAAACATGAGCTAGCTCTACCTTCCTACTCTAATATGGTCAGGTTCCCCAAGAACACACTTCATGTGTAAGCAATAATACTAGGCCAACAGACCCCATGGATAAAATTAGTCCCTACAGCAGCCTACAACCTAGCGTAGCTTGCTTGGCCACTCAACAGATCCCTTCTAGGTTTATTGCATTTGTGATTCATTTCAATCTGCTGCTTCAACAACCTAATTATTTGACTTCCTGAGTTTTTCACTGGGGCACATTTTTTCCCTTTCAAAGATGAGTGTGCTATCTCCTGGTGCAGCTGTTCTTTAGATTATTGTTTGGGCTTAACCCTCAGTAACTGACTCTTATTCTGATTTGGTCCAAAGCACTGGACTAAATGCTCCCTAATCACGGAAGAACTGGAGAGCATTCTAAAAAGTGGTCTCAGGGTGAGAGCACGGAGCTAAAGGGATTAGGTCCTTGGGAATCTAAGCCCACAAAATTAAAAAGCATTTTCGGATGCCATACCAAAAAAATTTTAATAATTATATAGGCCTTTTTTTGTCTTTTTGAGACAAGGCCTTGCTATGCAGTTCAGGCTGGTCTTGAGCTCACTTTGTAGCTCAGGCTGGTCTTGAACTTGCAATGATCCTCCTGCCTCAGTCTCCCGAGTGCTGGGATTACAGGCATGGGCCACCACGCCTGGTTTAGAACTTTAAACTTAGACTGCTGAGACAAAATCTAAGATATGGAAATAAAATAAAGGGGTAATATACACTACATTTAAAGTTTATACATATATAAAGTATTTTTGTATGAAAATATGTATATAAACACTAGGAGAATATAAATAAGACAAATTTTACATATAAGCACAAGCCAAATCTAAACAAAACTTTAATTTTAAGTAACTAGAGAAAAAGATAAATACTCTAACACAGAAAGAGAAACAATAACCAATAAACAAAACAAAATGGCTTAAATTCACCTATTAAAACACTGAAACTTCCCAACAGGGAAGAAATAAAATGCAGCAATCCACTATTTACACAAAATACACACAAAATGAACAGAAGGGCTGAATATAAAAGAATAACTTTAAGGGCAACTCTTACCAAGTTTTACAATAAAAATCCCTTTTCTTTTTAACAAAATATGTGAAACAAGAAAATTGGAAACATTTCTAACTCATTTTGTAAATCTAGCATAAATTAAGTCTGACTAGCCACTCTGAGTTTGCAAAAACAAAACTTTTAACCCCAACTGACGTATAAATATAGATGCAAACATTCTCTTTTAAAAGTTATTAAATCAGGGCTGGGGATGGAGTTCAGTGGTAGAGCATGTGCCCTGGGTTCAATTCCCAGCACTCCCTCCCCACGGTATCAAATCAATTCCAAAGGTATAAATCTGTAATATATCCAATGTAAATAAAATTTATTCTGGGAACACTTGATTGATTCCATGTTGGAAAATAAATATAACTCACTAACTGAAAAGTTAACATGCGAAACTGGTTATGGTGATACACGCCTGTGATCTTAGCACTCTGGTGGGTTGAGACAGGAGGATTACAGGTTCAAGCCTCACCTGGGTAATTTAGCAAGTTAGTGAGACCCTGTCTCAGAATAAAAAATAAAAAAGGAATGAGAATGTAGCTCAGTGCAAAGGCTCTGGGTTCAATCCCCAATGCTGAAAAAAAAAAAAAAAAGTTAACATGCTAAATAAGAAACGGCATTCCCAAAAAAAGAAAAAAATAAAAGGAAACAGCATTCCTAAAATCCAACCTCTAATCCTATTTACTTGCTTAAATAAGTTATTTCTGCAATCTCTACGACAGCCTCACATCTATATTCAAAATTCCCATTAGTGCAGTAGACCAGTCTGAACCTGGTTGTGTGTAGCCTTACAACTCATCTGCCTTCCATCTACCTTGAACCCTAGGAAGCAGGTCCTGAGTCCTGCATCCTAGCCTCTGGCAAAGTTAGATTGGGTCTGAGCTGCCTACTTTCCTCTACCATCACACTGTGTTCCTTGAGCAGAGATCTGCTGGGTGCCTCCCAAAAGTTAGTTCTTTCTGGTGCAACAGCCTTTGTAATGCAGCTATGTGGGTGATGACTCTTAGTTTGGTTGATCTCAAGTCCTTCTTTATTTGTTTGTTTTTCTTCCGGTACCAGGAATTGAACTCATGACCTGAGCTTGCCAGGTAGGCGCTTTGCCGCTGAGCTAGATCCCCAGCCCCCTTTTTTTGTTTGTTTGTTTGTTTGTTTTGTTTGATCTCAAGTCCTTCTGTCTGTTGCTACAGGCAATCATGAAGAAAAAATGTTAAGCTGTAGAAAAAGACTGTTTAGGTAAAAATATGAAAATATTAGATCTTATAAACTCACTGCTGGACACGGAGGCCATTGCAGACTTGATACCCACACTGTTATCCAAAGACAATGTTCAGCTTATCTTTATTATGCTGCCCCCCCCCCCAATTCTCAACTTGAAACTTCTAATCAACGTTCATTAGATTATAAGCTCCTTGAGGTCAGGAAAAGGCTGCTGTGTTCACTGTTATGTTCCCAGCACACACTGTGTGTCTTCAACAAATGTTTGTTACTGGAGAAAGACACTTACCTTGAGCTTAGCAATCTGCCCCACAACACAGCCCACTGCTCCTGCTGCTGCATTAACCAGCACTGTCTCTCCTCCCTTCACGCCACAGATGTCCAGCAGGCCGAAGTACGCAGTTAGGCTAAGCGAAGAAAATAAGAGTATGTGAAAGGATTTGTTTCCTTCCCCTATTACTCTTCTATAGAAACCTTGAAGGCCTTCTCAGCAGGCCTCTCAGTGCCAGGAGCCCTGGGATACAAAAAAATATTAAAATATAGGAAACGAGTATTACCAACCACTTTGGTCCACTTTCTTCTCTCCTCCCTGCGAGGAATAAAGATGATGTGAACCAGGAAAGTAACGGAGACTTGGATACCGAGGGGCTACATCCAGTCCATGTCCAGTGCAAGTCTCGAAGGTGAAAGAAAATAGATCCCCCTTGAACACTGGGGGATTCTAAAATGGGTAATTTATGCTTCGTCACCACGTAAGCCCTAGGGAGATGAGCTCATGGTGGCAAAGCCACAGAGTAGACACAATGCTATGGTATGTCTAAGCATGAAAGGATTACAGAGAACATCTTGAGTTTTCCATGGCTCCAGAGAAGTACGGAAGAACTTCAGAAATCTTGTCACCTGAAGCCGTCTGCTGAGGTTAGCTTGCAGGAAAGAACTACTGGGCCAAACAAAGATGCAGCACAGACAGTTCTGGTGGGGACTGAGTGAACGCACAACCACATCTTAGTGGACTGAAGCTACGAAGGGGATCAGATTGAAGACTCAGTGGGAAAAATTCCACTTTGTGCAGGAGATCTGCACCAGATCAACACAGATCCGGAGCAAGAAGTTGTATTCTTTCTATCAACACTGCAATTGTATTAGCCCTGGGAAGTTTGCATCAACAGTAGGGAGAAGAAAAAGGAAATCCCAAACTAATGGAGAAACCACTGATGCTTTCTTTTACTACAAAGTGAGGGCTTGAGATAGACGCAAAGCTTAGTAGCAGAAAATTTTTAAATTATATTTTTGCATCCCTGTTGAAAGATATTTCCATATAAAACAGAAGTTACCCATTGGGTTATTCCAGCTCTGCCTATATTTGGGACACATGAGGTGGGCATTAAAGAGGCAGTGATGGGTGTAGGTAATCTTTTTCTGAGGATCTAAATACAGTTATGAGCTGCATGGTGGCATTTTGGTCGGTACGGACTGCATATACAATGGTGGTCCATAAGACTGTGTCATCTAATGACAGTGTAAGTATCTCAGTTTGTGTTAGGTACATACGGGGATATTTGCATCATGACAAAATCAAAATAGAAGAACAACATTCTTCTCAGAAAGTATTCCTACAAAATGATAGTAAGTGATGTTAGACTGTGTATAATATTCCCTTAACACAGTGCCTTTCAGAAGATGGATACAGCACCACTTGCCTCAGAATGAAGCTAGAGTGGTTGTTAAAAATTTAGATTCTCAAATGTCACCCTAGATTCATTCATAACTACTTAGCTGTGGAAATCTGAACTTCAGTAACAGTCTAGCCAGTTCTTACAAATGCCAGCAACTGTAAACCCGTGCTTAATGAATAATGATGTCAGAGTTTCCTGACATCAGGTGAGTTAGCCTAACCCCCAAAAAGAAGCAGAAGATACATTTTCTAATTATCTCATTACATCCATAGCAACTTGCATCTCCCTTCTCCAGGTACCTTTTTTGTATCTCCAGAGATCAGAATCTAACTCAATTAGACATACTGATCTAACATACACAAGGCCATTACCAAACCTCACTTCCTTTTAAAAATAAAATGGAGATAAGATGGAGACCTCAACGAGAAATCCAAGTAGAAAATTAAAGGTGCACTTTGGACTAACAGGACCTTAGTAGAATCAACAGTTTAGAAAGGAAAACATGTAGTTCGGATCTTAAATTCCCTCAAAGACCAATGTGTTAAAGGCAGAAGTCTCCAAGAATGGGTGATTCATTGCTAGAGGAAGCTTGGAAACTAATGAAGTACTAATGAACTTTTTCCCAGCAAAAACTGAGAACCACTGGTATAAAGCGGTCTGAAAGGAATAAAAGGGCAGTCCTTGGGACAGGGAAGATGAATAGGAAATACACACACATGGATAAATTATCTTCTCTTTTAAGACTCAGGCTCTCCTAATAGTTTAAAAATTACTTTTTCGCCCAGAAAGCCATGAGGGACTTGCCCATAAATTTCTTCACATCTACCTTCACCTCTGCTCTCCTACTACACCTGTGTCACAGTCAAGAGCAGGATGGGTAGGATGACAAGATGGGAGGGATAGCTCCTGCAGTAGAGGGTTGCAGGTCAGGCAGGAAAGACCAGGGAGCAAGGCTGTAATTCTGGTCAGTGTTCAGTGATTGAAAATAAGATGGCATCCTCTAGTTTCACAATGATGTTCTCTTGGCAGGGGTGATTTTGAGTTAAAATTCTGACTCAGTAGTGAACATGAGGTATATGGAGGTTGTTTTTAGCAGAGACTGAATGTGGGGGTATGACAGTTTAATTTAACTGTCAACTGGACTGGTGTGGGAGTCAACTAGGGGTTTAGTAAAGCACACTTCTAGGTATGTCTGGGAGCATCATAGAGGAGTAATCTTGGGTTCCATATCTGCTCCCACACCCCTTTATCTCTGGTGCCATTCCCCTGCTGTGCTTCCTGGCCACCAATGAACTGTGCGGTTTTGTTACCTGACACCCTTCCACCATGTTTCTGCCTTGGACCCAGGCAACCATGGACTGGAACCTCTGAAACTACAAGTCAGATAAACTTTTTAAAGTTGTGGTGTTGGGTATTTGGCCCCAGCAAAGAGAAAGCTGACGAATACAGGTGGTATTTCATCCCACTTTTCCATTTTATTTTTGAGAAGTCCCTCAGGAAGAGGGGGTTGGTGTGCAGAAAGGGGAAAAAGAAAATGATCGTGTAATTTAGACAACCTAAGAGAAAGGAAAGAAACAAATAACAGGCTTGGAAAGCCTTAGGAACACCAAAAGCAATGATCTTCTTCAGGCATAAAAGAAAGAATGGTGCTGGGCATGATGGCACATCCCTATAATTCCAGCAGCCTGGGAGGCTGAGGCAGAAGGATCACAAGTTTGAACCTAGGCTGGGTAACTTAGAGATTCAGTGAGACCTTGTCTCAAATAAAAATAAAAGAGGGCTGAGGATGTAGCTCAGTGCAAAAGCCCTGGGTTCAATCCCTAGTACTACACACATAAGAAGAGGAGGAGGAGGAGCAGAAGAAGGCAGAAGGGCTTCGCTAGACATAAAAGGAAATGAGGTCTACAGCTAATTGGGAACTGCAGAGAAGACACTGGATGAACTGAGCAGGAGTCTTCCTAAGCGATGAAGCCACAAGAGGCTTAAGAACTTTCAATCTGTTCCAAGCTGAGTGATCATACAACCACACTGCGATTCATCTCGGTTATTTAGACCTCAGATACTCTTGCACATTCGGAAGTGCAGAAGTACACAGGGAAAGGCGAGGGAGGAAAGGCAGTGTAGAAGAGGCCAAGGGAGACTGAACTCTCTCAACTCTGAAGTGAAGACAGAGATGAGTGGTGGGTGAAGCCAACAACAGCCCCCCCCCGCCCCCCCGGGAGAAGAGGAGCTGGTTCCTTTGTGTCACAATTCTGCCAGACGCTTGCACGGATCATGCTCCTTGTTACTTCTAACTGATGCTTTTTCTTTCTATCTGAGGATCTCTGACTTGATTTTCCTCCTTTCCTTTAGCTTCAAGGCTGATTCTGGGGGTTACGGCTTGTTTCTAGATGTCTCCCCAGAGCTTCATGCAGTCATAGGAGGGGAGTTTCGAAGGTGGCTGGATTAGGGTGTGTGAGTGGGGATTAGGGGTGTGTGAATGGGGATTAAGGGTGTGATACTGGGACTAAAGGTATGGATAATGGAAGCCCCACCCTGGGTGTGGGTGGCACCAATCAAAAGGTTTGCAGCCTGGATAGACTACGAAGGGAGAGAGCAAAGGCAGTTTTGCTACTGCTGCTTGATGTCTTCTACCTGCCATGCCAAAAACTGTTTCTCCTCTGTGAAGTCCCCCCGCCGCCATGCCACCCTAGCTTTGAGCCAGCCAACTATGGACTGAAACCTCTACAAGCTGTGAACTGAATAACTCTTTCCTCCTTTAAGTTTGGGTGTTGAGCATTTTGTCTCAGGAATGAGAAAAGTAACTAAGACACAGGCTACTCTTTTCTTCTTTAAATTTAACTGCAAAATAAAAAATGCATATATAAATATTTATTCTGTACAATATACTGTTTCAAAATATATAGTTATTTAGTTATAGTGGAATGGTTTGATAAAACTAATTAACATACACATTTAGTTACAGTGGAAACAGCTACATGGGTTAATTAACACAAGTTACCTCACATAGTTATCATTTTTTGTGGCAAGAACACTCCAGATCCACCTTCGTAGCACTTTTAAGAATGTAGTATGTTGTTAATTACAGTCACCATGTTGTACAATAGCTCTTTTGAATGTCTCCTGTCTGAATGAAATTTTATACCTTTTGACTAACATTTCCTCAGACCCCAGGCCCCAGTCCCTCAACCCCTGGTAACCGCCATCTACTCTCTGCTTCTGAGTTCACCTTGTTTAGATTCCACATATAAGTGACATCATATGGTATCTGTCCTTCTGTGCCTGATTTGTTTCACTAAAGGTCCTCCAGGTTCAGCCATATTGTCATAAATGTCAGGATTTCCTTCTTTTAAAAGGTTGTATAATATTCCAGTGTGTGTGCACATGTGTGTGCATGCCCATATGCATGCACCTGTATCATATTTTCTTTATCCATTCATCTGCTGATGTACTATTGGGTTGCTCTCCCTCCCTTCCTTAGTCTTACTATCTTCTCTAGGCAGCCTCTGGCCTATAATTCCCCAAGTCCCTTTTTGCTGACCAAGTTCTATATACATTGTTTTGGAAAATCAGCATGTCAGGCACTCGAACAAATGAAATATACCCACGCAACTCACCCTGGCATGCCAACTGTCCCCAGGGCCAAAGACAGTGGTAATGTATCTGGCCACTCTGTAGACAATTTTTCCAGGCCTTCCCCATCAGACACGGAGTGTGTTGTCCAGCCTGAAAAAGCCAGCACGATTGTTCCTGTTGGGAAGGCTGAGTTTTTACTTTCCACCACTCTGCAAGATAAAGCACAGTAAGACAGGTGACACTTCTTCCCTTTCATGGGAGTCAGGATGCTTTGTAGTTAATGCTCACCAAGGGCATGGAAGTCAACACTCCATGGCTGATACCCTGCCCCATCTCAGCAGCTTAATTCTCAGCCACTGGCCTAGGGGCCAGCAGAGAAGAGCTCTTTCTACTGATCCAGCATCTGTCCCTGTCCTCACCCACTTCTCTTCCTTTTAATCCAGAAGACTCCACGCTTTGGTTCACGCTGCCCAGGATACCATCCTGTCTTCCTCAGAGGTCACCCTCTATCCCTCTGACCTCCTTTCTCTTGACTCTGTAACATTTTCTTCTCTAATGTCCCCTTCTCTCAGCACATAAGCATGTTCAGCTCTGCCATCTTCTACTCCCATCCTCTTTTCTCACCTTCTACAGCCCAACTTCCTCACTTCCCATTCACTTTACAGCCTGCTATTATGATTCAAATATGAAGCTTCACCCAAAGACTTACATGGAGGACTCAGGCTCCAATGCAGCGGTGGTCAGAGGTAGGGGCTACAGAAGTAACTGGATCGCGAGAGTGCTGACCTCATCGATGATCAACCTATTCATTAGTTGACAGCCAAATGGGTTTATTTGGAAGCCTAACTGGATGAAACAGGTCATGGGAGCACGGCTTTGAACATCCTGTGCCTCAGTCTCCTAGTGCTGGGATTAGAGGCATGTCCCACCACGCCTGGGGAACACCCCACACCTTACTGGCGCATGTTTGTAACATAGAAGAGTGACGTTCATTTGGGGAGAATTGGTACATGCATGTCTTGATGATTTCTGATCCCTTTACCCACCTCTCCTTTGCTTCTGCTCTTCCCATAATCCCCTTCTAGTTTCCTATCATTGTTTATTTATTTATTTATTTACTTATTTATTTATATTTTAGGTTTCTCATGTAAGAGAGAATATATGATCATGTCATCTTTTTGTTGGGCAACTTGTCTTTCCAAATTAAAAGTGTGTATCTCCTTTTACCTAGAATTTATACTTTTGGGAATTTAATGCATTCCCATCCTTGTGGGCAAAGAATACACACACACACACACACACATGCAGATACACACATGTTTCCTGAAGGATTATTTGTAGTAGAAAAAAATTGCAAACAGTTGTTACTGGTAGTAGATTAGTTCAATGGCAGAATGTAGTAGAATGATATTTAGCTTTTAATCAAGGTAGATGATTTTTTTTCCCTTTATACATTTAATTTTTATTTATTTTATTTTTTATTTTAAAAAAAAGAAGGAAAACAATAACAGACAGATATCCATTTACAAAACAGCATAAGAATAATACTAACAAAACAGAGTTACAGACAAAGTTGTAGGAAATTAACCATGGTTGTTGTATTACGTATTGATATCTTCAAAGTGGTTTCTCAGGAAAACAAATAGAGACATGCAATATTGATCAAAAAGTAATCATTAACTGTTCCTTTCAGCAAAGCAACAGAAGACAGTAGCACAACTGTGTTAGCTATTTTGTATATACATACATACATAATTTCCCCTTCTTTCTCTTCTCTTTTCCCACACCCCAGTTTCCCTTTACTTTTGAGCATTTTCCTTTCGTTTCACAGTGTCTATCATACCTCCTAGTTTTTATTCACTCTTTCAGGTGTTACGCTAGTGAGACAATGTGATTCTTACACATGCAGGTCTGATTTATTTCACTTATGAGTATGGTCTCTAGTTGTGACCCTCTACCTATAAAAGCCTTGAGTTTATCTTTCTTTATAGTTTATCTTTCTTTATATATAGTTTATCTTTCTTTATAGCTGAATAATATTCCATTATATAAAAGTACCACAATTTTCTTATCCAATCCTCAGTGGATGGACATTTGGGTTGCTTCTACAATTTAGCAATTACAAATTGTGCTGCTATGAACATGGGTGCACAGATATCGCTGTGATATGATGTTTTCAGATCTTCTGGGAAAATACCCAGAAGGGAAGATGATATATTTAAATAGTATCCACAAAAGATTTCTATGACATCTTAAGTGAGCAAAAGCAATCTGCTGAAGGGCATATCATCCCACTTAAAAATACGTAAGATATCTGTACTGAACAATTTTTGAAATAATAATACATCAACAGCACCTGACTTCAGGGCCCAGGGATATAGCTCAGCACCACAGCCCCTGCCTGGCAAGAGCAAGGTCCTGAGTTTGATTCCTGGTACCAACAAACAAACAAAGAAATAAACAAAAAAACAACTGACTTCAAGGCTCATATAAGGGGCACCTTTCAATTTCAAGATAAAAATTTTTTGTGTTATTTGAATGTTTACAATAATCATGAACCAGATAAGTGCAATTTTAAAGGAATTAATAGTACGGTTAGCAGAGTGAGGCTGAAATGATAGCAATTTCACATTCTTCCTTCCTTCCCACTTAAGAGAGTCACTTCCAGGATCAAACAGTGAGTGAACCACACAGGCTGAAGGAATCATAGGAGCCAGGGACAGAGACCAAGGTCAAACGGAAGGAAAGAGGCATATTTTCCAATCATCCGGACACGCGGAAGTAATTACCTGGCCACTTGCTGTCCCATCATCGCATCACCCTCCTTCAACCTTTTGGATGCCAGTCTGAAAAAAAAAAATTTATTCTTAGCGCAAAGAGCATCTGGGGAAAACTTTTTTGAATTTTGAGCCAATCAGAAAAATCACTGGGGGCTGGGGATTTAGCTCAGCGGCACAGTGCCTGCCTAGCAAGTGCAAGGTCGTGAGTTCGATTCCTGGTACCAGGAGAAAAACAAACAAGAAAAACCAAACAAACAAACAAAAAAAGAAAAATCACTGGGATGGTATGTACAGAAACAAAACCCACAGGGGCAGCACAGACACTACTAGACATACTCCCATTCTGTGATCTCCAAAGCACTCCACTAGTATTTTTCTATAAGGGAAATTAAGACTTTTACCACCCTGTTCAAGTATAGATGAGTTTCAATGTGTGCCTTTAAAAATATACACCCAGGCACTACTTAAGTTCTTGTTAATACAAAACATTAGTCACATATAAAGGGATGCTAATTAACATTTTTAAACTCTGTTTTTCACTTGAGATTTGAATCTTTATCAATCAACTATTAAAAAAACATTCAAAAGAATGTTAGCTAAGGCATATTATTTGCTTTGGTAAAAAGTACTGAGGCATTATAGCCTATGAAGACTTTTTATTTCCTTCCCTCCCTGAATTGTACTGTGTATATAAGTTTGAGTCAACTACTGATTACCTAGATTAAAAGAATACCAGTCACTGGAAGGCAAGAATAGCTGATTTCAGTCTTAGTAAATACTTTGCCCAAATAATTTGCCAGTAATGAAATGGGGGAGTTGGAGTTAGCTTCTTGTTTTCCTTTTTTTCTGGAAGCAACTCCAGTGAGCAATCAATGGCAAACTATGCACAGCAGATTAGAGATGGTTGTAAAGTAAAAGGACCAGCCTAATCCCTTGCCAAGCTTCTCAGACTTCTGCCTGGAGAAACCCAGCATCCGTGAATCCCATCACTGATACAAACCAGGAGAAATGTGGAAATGACAATGTTAGCTATTTTAAAAGATGAGCCATAGGCCGGGCATATAGCTTAGCAGCCTAAGTGCCTGCCGGGCACTTGAGCTCATCAGTTTGATTCCCAGTACCCCACCCCCCAAAAAAAAACAAAGTAAAAGATGAGCCACAATGCCCACTGATCATTGTAGATGCTCTGAAATAAATAAAATTCTACACTGGTATAAATAAAAATCTTTTAAAAAGACAAGGTAAGGCATTTCACTATAGCATCCAACACACAACATAAGAAGTTTTAGGAGGAAAAATAATACCTCATGTAAGGATCCACGGAGAGAAATAAGGCTTCAAGCAGGACCTCTACAAAAGAAAGTATTCCACAGGCAGTTAAAACTCAAGCCCCGTGCCCTTGTTGTTTTTTTTGGCATTATAAATAAACACAAAATATCTTTCTGCTTTGGAGTTGTCCTCTTATCTGTGTTTGCGCTCTTGTTTTTATTTTATTTATTATTTTTTAATTAGATATACATAAGGATCACACTCATCATAGGGAATCTGTACCGGTATATGATACATCTTGATTCTTCTTTTTCCCTTTTCCCTTCCCCTCCCTTCAGCCCCTTGTCCCCTCCTTATTTACAAAAGCTTTGTCACAGGCGTGATGGCGCATGCCTGTAATCCCAGCACTGGGAAGGCTGAAGCAGGAGGATCGTTGTGAGTTCAAGACCAGCCTGGGCTACAAAGTGGGCTCAAGGCCAGCCTGAACTGTATAGTGAGACTCTGTCTCAAAAAGACCAAAAACAAAACAAAAGCTTTGTTTCCATTTTTCCTTCTTTTCCAGTTTCTTTTGTCTTGTCCCTTCCTCCCTTTCCCTGTCCTGCTTCCTGCCAAATCTGCACCTCCTATGTTACAGTGCTCACGCTGGATTTCATTACCAGCCTTAGTGAGTATGACGAATAGGCATTTTAGTGGAGGGATCTTCATGGGCACATTTTCTAGAATTTTGCATCTGAATACTGGCCATGAGACCGATACTTAAATGAGACAGATAACTGTGCCATGGTACTTGATTGCATCCCCTTTTCTCAAAAGCTTACCTACCTGCAAGACTCCTTAGAGATACCTCTTATACTCTGAGCTCTACAGATGGGTACTGGGTGGTACTTAACCTATTACTATGATTGGGCTTAAGAGGACAGAGAGGATCTGTTCCCAAGGTCTGCTCAAAGGCTTAAAGAGTAATTCATCCAAGCATGAATTTCAGTTGTCAAAAAAAAACAAAGGGAACTTCTAGGAGGACATCAAAACTTCATACAGAGCACCCTGAAAAGGTTTCTGTGGAAGATTGCAAAATGGCTACAAATACCTCCCACCCTTGTGTGCTAGATCTTGGCCACACTTTCCATGAAGAAATCTCTTTCTAGGGGCTGAGGGTGTAGCACTAAGCTACAGTACTTGCTGTGCACGCATAAAACACTGGGTTTAATCTCTAGCCCCACAACAAAATGAAAGAAGGAAATGCGGCTTCCCATCCCTTGAATCCAGTCTTGGCAATTTTAACTCGCTTTGACCAGTAAAATACTAACAAACATGATACAAGCAGAAACATGAAAAGCACGTGCACAATGGAGTCACCAACTCTGGTTGCTGCAGATCCCCAAGACCACTATGTGAACAAAGCTCAAACTAGCTTGCCAGGGAGGGCTTAGAGATAACCCAAGCCCACACTGCAGGAGAAAGTGTGCTGAGCACCAGACACAAGAGTGAGGTCTGTCCTAAAATAACCATCTGGCCCAGTCGAAGCATCATTCACGTTAACCCAGCCAACTTGCAGGATCATGAACTCATAAATAATTGCTGTTTGACGTCACTAAACTTTGGAGTAGCCTGTTATGCTGCAAAGGGTAACTGACAGTATCTTCCAACTCGGAAATCTTACCTCCATTTTTTAAGGGTGGGAGCTCAGCAGTCTTCAGCTCAAAGTCACTCCGAGTAGGCTCGCCCTCGAAGTGCTTCTTCAGGGTCCAGCTCTTAGCATTAACCATCGTGAGGCTCTTGGAACACGGTAAAGGTGTAGTCAGCTACCATAAAGTCACAGGATTGCACCGAGGCCAGATAGCACGACCATAACACTTTCTTATTATCTAACACCAACCACATTCATTTAGGGTTTACTGTCTCTGGTGCTGAGATAAGCACTTCATAAATACGATCTTATTTTATTCCCCTAACTTCTCTACAACACAGGCATTGTTATCACTGCCAGTGTACAGACGAGGAAAGAGGCTAAAGGAAACCTCCAAGGCAAGGTACAATGTAAATTGACACAGAAATTCTTCCCACGCACCGCTTACGCTACAATTTCTCTAGGGCTCCGCCAGCTACAAGGCGTGCAAATGCTTCCAGCTTGTCCTCTCTTATAAAGTAAATTCGCGGGATAAGCTTCAAACACAGGGAAACAAACGAATTCTGCTTCTCTCCTGAGGTGGAGTCGTCCGTCCTAAAGCAGTTCTCAGGGACGCCTGAAAGCCACTGAGCGGCGCTGCTGCTTCACCCCACTTTCAGGAGGGAAATTTACACGTGTCTCCAGATAAAGTTCATTAAGAGTTCTGAGAGGCAGCGGACTTTAGACATCGAACTACCCTGCATCACATGGAAACCGTCCCCGCCATGACTACTATTGGCGAGCCCACGCTGGCGATTTTACCCTGTGCAGTGCCTGGGAGCGGGGACACGCCAGCCTGGAAGGACCACTTGCACACGGCACGGAGTGGAATGGTGGGCGCGGCCCGTCCAAAGTCTAGCTGTTCCTTCTCCTCGTCCTCTTCTGTTTTAAACTTATTTTCAACTGACAGATAATTCCATATCGAGGGGGTAATGTGATGTTTCGGTAATAATATACAAAGTAGAGTGAATGAATCGAGCTAATGAATCTATGGTCTTATTTACCTATCATTTTTATGGTGAAACATTTGAAACTGTAGTTATTTTGAAATATACATTGACTACAGCTACCCTGCTGTGCAACAGACCTCAAAAATCTATTGCACATTGCTCCCATCTGTCCCTTTGTGCCCCTTTGAACAACAGTTCCCATTCCCTCGCCAACTCTTCCCACCTCAAGTTTCCATCGTTCTACTCTCTACTTCGAGTCCTTTTTTTTTTTTTTTAAGATCCAAACTATTCTTGTCTCTCTCTTTCCAAAAAGCGACTGCCCGTAATTCAACTCTGCACTAGTCCAGACTCCCCCTCTGGCAGGCCCTTCCGCGGAGGCAGGGAGGGTCCCGCAGACTCGAGGAAGCGGGTCTGGGGGCTGCGCCCACGCCCGAATCTCCACCCCTATCTACCTTCTCCAGCATACCCGTTTGGCAGTCACTCAAGTCTTTACTCAGCCCCTTCCCAGGTGCAGGCAGCTGTGGGTGACCGGAAAAGCAGCGCTCCTTTGCCCTTCCCTCCGAGATCCGGCCCGGATCTTTCCAACAACCAGCGGGGACTGGAAGTTTCGTGACCCGGATCCCAACTTTCCGCGAGCGCCAGCCCGGGAGACTTTGGCGTTAGGAAAGAAGAGCTGAGCGCAAAGCTCCTCCGCGGTGCGGCCAGACACGCAGCGGCAAGGAGGCAGACCGGGGACGGGAAGGGGGAGAGGGAGAAAAACCAAAAGCAGGAGTTGACTTACGGGCGTCTGCAGGTCGCACTTCCTAGAGGTACCGCGAGGGTTGCTTGCACCGCGAAGCGCTCTGGACTCGGATTTATTGCATTTTGTAAGAGAGGGCGGAGCTTCTCAAGGGCGGAACTACTTGTGGACTTCAGAGCCCGCGAGGGGTCACGGGGAGGAAAGGAGGGTCCGAGGAGTCCGCGCAGTCGCGCGTCCAATAACAGAAGCCCCCGGAGAGCCCTGCGTGGGCGATTCTGTGCCTGCGGCTCCAGCGTGCTCCTTGGGAATCCCGCGGAAGCGTGTCCTGTGGAAGAACGAGCGGAGCCTGCCTCGCGCGGACAGGTGCCCCGAGCAGCCGCTTGCGCGATCCCCAGTAGCGATCCCCTACCTGCCTGTTGCCAGTCTGCCTATTGTACACCTACTTAGATTTCACGAAAAAGGTCTTTTCCTCTGTGCACCCTTTTTAGACTCGTCCAAGCAGGAGCGAGTGTTCCTGCTTCTGCGGCGCCCGAGGCATCGCACCCCAGCAACAGCAAGTGCTTTGTCATCGCCTGTCTGAGAGGGGGATAGGCTGCAGTGGAGCACAAGGGAAAGTCCTGGTTTTTAGAGTTCTCTGCTTGGTGTAGCTTCTTGTCTCAGCCCATCTACAAGCCTGGAGATAACACCAGCGCTTAACCCCCAGCGTCAGGATGAAAATCACATGCCTAGGCTTGGGGGAAGCCCTATATTCATCTCCGGCTCCAGCGTGGGGACTAAATAGCACTTTTTTAAAATAAAAAGAAGCAGGGCGTGGTGGCGCGCGCCTGTAATCCCAGCACTCCGGAGACTGAGGCAGGAGGAGCGTTGCAAGTTCGAGACCAACCTGGGCTACAAAGTGAGCTCAAGGCCAGCCCGAACTGCATAGGGAGAACCTGTCTCAAAAAGACAAAGAAATAATAATAATAATAATAATAATAATAATAATAAAATAAAAAGTACAGTATCAAGTGTTTAGATCAGTATAGGCTTATGGTCAATATTCAGTGCATGCTGGCTCAATTAACAGTCTTGTAACCTGTCCACTGGCAATCCCAGGCCACCTACACTGTATTCTATTTTACACTACCAAACTCTGGCACGGTCCTGAGTCAGTCATGTAAGATAAATAGGGAAACGATGCAAAGATGTTTAAAGGACTTCGAAATTTCCCATTACTCCCCTCTATTTTCCCCTACTTGAAGTAACTGTTACCTCAGTGAGTGCAAATTTATTAATGCCCTGGGTTACCTAAACCACTTATGTGTATTTGTGTGCAGGATTCCTCTTTTCTCTGTGCCAGGCTTTCAGTTAATAAGGCACTCAGTGAAAGATTCAGAATCCCCAGAGATAAGACTTCACAGTTTTCTGCAGAAGATCATGTGAAGTAGTAACTGGATGTTACTTGTACAGGTTTGTCAGTTCCCGGCAAAAGAATTGTTTGTTGATCTTAAAAGCTTTTTAACAAAGGAGCTGAAAGAAACCTGAGTGTCTCACCTGAGTGAAATAAACAGATGCACTGCTCACACAAACCTGTGTCAGTAGTAACACATGTATCAATAATACACCTGGTGCCGAAACCCGGGATAGGGTGACCATCCAGGGAGGGCTTTCAAGCCTATCTGAGCCTTTTGTCCTGATGAGACCACCCTGTGACATCAGCTCCTCAGACTGCAGTCCAGATAATCGCCACCAGCCATTTCAGGTAAGGTAAGACTTCTTTCTCTTTCCTCTCTGCACCTGTAACATTCTCTGTGCCTTTAAAACTTTTCCCTCTGTCCCCTCACCCACCAAGACAAAGGCTCATTCCACCTTCCTTGTTTCTTAAATCCAGTGCTGGTCATGGAAACTGTCCAGGAACAGTCTGTTTGGTGTCTGACCAATGTTGGAGACATCTGCATTGGTTACTCACCCCCGTTCTACTAGGGCCCTAAGTCTGCTGTGGACCTTGTTGGCAATCTCATTACCTCTCTCTGCTCTCCACAGAAAATATCCCTCCATCTCATCTGACCATATCTTATATACCCAAGATTTCCAATACCTGACCCAGTCATATAGCCTCACCTGAACTGGCTTAAATGTCCTTAGCTCAATGCTCTCCCCAGATGGACAGAAGCAAGTACGGTTCCTGGCCCAGTCCTATGGGGACAACTGCAGGCACCTTCAACCCAACCTTCCAGAGGGTACCCCCTGAGAGGACCCACACTAGAACTATCAGGCAGGATCTCAGAACATAGGCAATCGAGATCACATGATTTCCTACATCATAGTGGGACTTTGCAAGGTGGCCCCTAAAGCAGCTAATTTTGATAAACTTAAACAGACCACTCAGACCAGAGATTAAAAAAAACTGGCCCAGGGGCTGGGGATTTAGCTCAGCGGCACAGCGCCTGCCTGGCAAGTGCAAGGTCGTGAGTTCAATTCCCAGTACCAGAAAAAAAAAAAAAAAACTGGCCCAGTTTATGGCCCACCTGGCTGCTCCCAGCCAGACAGTTCACAATACTAGATCCAGAGGGGCCAGAAGGACAAATTATTCTTAAAATGTACTTCATGACCCAGTTGGCCTGAAACTTTCAAAAAAAACTTACAAAGACTGTAGACTGGCCCTCAAAACCCACAAGAGAAGCTAATTAACTTGGCCTTTAAGGTCTTCAAGAACAGATGAAAGTGCTTGAAAGCAGCACATTTCTGAGCTGAAGATGCTGTCCTCTACCATAAGACACCCCCCAAGGTCAACACTGCATTGGCCACAAAAGGAACAAAGGCACTCCTGACCATAAACACCCCTCCAGGACCATGTTTTAAATGCTGCCTGAACTGTCACTGGGCTAGGGAATTCCCGACGCCTCAGATTCCTCCCAAGCTATGTTTTTCTGTGGTGTCCCTACTGGAAGCCAGACTGCCCAACACCAACAGCCACCTCTGGGTCACAGCCCTAGGGAGCCCCTACTGGCTTGTTGGCTTGGCCATCAAAGACTGAAGCTGGTTGAAGACCTCGGAGGCCCCTTGGACCATTTCAGATGCTGAACTTCGGGTAACTTACAATGGAGGCTAAGTCCATCACCTTTCGGATCAACACACAGGCAACCCATTCCACCCTTCCCTCTTTCCAAGGACCAGTCTCCCGGGCCCCAACTACTGTTGTGGGTATTGATGGCAAAGTCTCTGGACCCTTAAAAACTCCTCCAAACTGGTGTTAGTTGGGCCAACACTCTTTCTCCCATTCCTTCCTGGTTATTCCCACTTGTCCCATTCCACTTCTTGGACAAGACATTCTGACCAAACTGTCTGCCACTCAGACAATTCCCAGCATACAGCCAGGCTTCATAGCCACCCTTGCCTCTCCCTACCTATTCCCACCTGCTGTTCCCATAGTTTCTCCCCACTTCAACTCCACAGTATGGGATACCTCTTCCCCATCCCTGGCCCTAGCCCAAGAATCCCTTACCATCTCACTTAGACCAAATCACCCCTATCCTGACCAGCATCAATAGCCCATCCCCAACCCAGTTTTACAGAGACTAAAACCTATCATTTCCTGTTTGCTACAAAACGGTCTCTTAGTTCCAATCAATTTTCCTTATAACATCCCAATTCTTCTTGTAGGGAAAACTGATGGCACTTACAGGTTGGTGCAAGATGTCCAAACTATCAGTCAGATTGTCTTTCCCATACACCTCAGGTACCAAACCCCTATACGCTTTTGTCCTTTGTCCCTCCATCTACCACGCATTATTCTCTTAGACCTTAAAGACACCTTTTTCACTATCCTCCTGCAGCCTGTCTTTGCCTTCACCTAGACAGACCCTGACACTAATCAGTTGCCACATCCAGCACAGTTCTCCAAATTCTTGTGGTGAAGAATGGAGGAGGATGAAGAAATAAAGACAAGAATCAGAAAACAGAAAGCTGAGGTCAGGTGAAGCCCTCTCTCTGGATGGGAGAAAAGGAACTACTCAACGACTGAAGTGCATTTATTTATACACTTGGCAGTTTGATGTCAGATGACACCCCTCTACCTAGCAACCTGTTTACTTGGCTTGCCTCAGGCTCTCCTCTGTGTTCTTGGAGTTAGAACAGCTTGTTCATGTGGCTCACCACAGGTGCTCTGCATGTGTGATCAATCTCCAGCTTCAACCATTCCCCACAATCAGTCTGAACAGTTAACCTGGACCGTTTTGCTACGTGGTTTCCAGGACCACTCCAACTAGTTTGGTCAAGTGCTTGCCCAAGGTTTGCTCTCCTTTCAACCTTCTTCTGTTTGTCTCATACAGTATGTCAATGACCTCCTCCTCTGTAGCCCCTCCTCCAAGTCAGCTCATAAAGATACTCTCTTATTATTACAACATCTAGATTCAAAGAGATACCATGTATCTCCCTCTAAGGCCCAAATCTCTTCTCCATCCAACACCTATCTGAGCATCATTCTCCTCAAACATACTCGAGCCCTACCTCCTGACCATATCCACTTGATTTCCCAGATTCCAACCCTCAACACCAAACAACGCCCCTTCTCCTTTCTCAGCATTATAGGGTACTTCTGTTTCTGAGTTTCTAGCTTTGCCCTCCTCGCCAAACCCCTCTACAAACTCACACAGGAGGCCCTGTTGAGCCAGTAGATCATCAGACCTTCCCTCACTCATCTTTTTATTCTACTGGAACCTGAGTGAAATAAACAGACTTGCTACTTACACAAAGCCTGCCTGGGTGGTCTCTTACACAGAAAGAGCCAATAAAACCATAGTTGTGGGAAATCTTCACAAAAGAAGTAAGAATTCTAGAAATAAAGTGCCAAGAACACAGAAATTTCTCATTTGATATGAAATGGAACATCAGGATACGGTCTGACCACACCACATAAAACAGGATTTCTTTGCCAATCCCAGTGACTCAATCATTATTATCAACTGCAGTTTGCTAAGTCATGGTGATTAGAGTAAGTCCTGGCTGACACATAATCACACACAGATGTAGACTATGGAACAAAGGTCAAGAAAGATATCAAAGATTTGTTTTCCTCTGAGAGAAAACCCTTTCTTAATCCAGTTTTCTGACCTTAGGTTTCAATGAACTCTGATCTATTATCTGAAAGAATAATTCATTTAAAGCAACAAAATCACATTATTACATAAGTAATAAAAGAATATTGCACACCAAATAATCCAGATAATAAAAATGTTTAAAGTGTAAAACAAAGATATTATCTATTTGATAGGGACTCTTCCTGGATGTTTTTCTGTGGCAGGGCATTTAAAAATTAGATATGTACCTTCTCTTTCTTGGTTACATCTTCCATTTCACTCATCTGATGCCATGCTTTGAAATCATTATCAAAGTGATTTGTAGTATTATTCTCAGGATTTCAAGAATTCCTTAGGGCATGAGTGACATGACGTTTAGAGAGAGAATGGTCCTGTCTCACAGCACTTGTGAGATGTAGGGCTTGTGCACCGTACTGTGAGCCTTGCACTAGAGTTGCTCTTAGG